GTCGAGCGCCCTTTAGTCGAACGCGGTTTTGTGGTGGAACCAAGAATCCCATGGGCCGGATCTGGCCCACAGGCCTTGATTTTGATACCCCTGTGTTAAAGATATCATCACAGAATCACACACATTACACAGAGAGGTTAACAGAATTGGAAGGGATCTTGTAGGTCATCTAGTCCAACCCCCTGCCCAAAAAGGAGACCCTAGACTATTTCTGACAAATGGCAGTCCAATCTCTTCTTGAAAGCCTCCAGTGATGAAGCCTCCACAACCTCTGAAGGCAACTTCTCTTCCATGGGTTGATTGTTCTCACTGTCAGGAAATTGCTTCTTAGTTCTAGGTTGAATCTCTCCTTCATCAGTTTCCATCCATTACTCCTTATGTGTCCTTCAGGTGCTTTGGAAAATAGCATGACCCCTTCCTCTCTGTGGCAGCCCCTCAAATAGTGGAACACTGCTATCATGTTCCCTGGTCCTTCTCTTCACTAGACTAGATTCATCACAGAGTAACAGAGTTGGAAGGGACCTTGGAGGTCTTCTAGCCCAATCCTTGCTCAGGCAGGAAACCCTGCACCATTTCAGGCAAACGACTGTCCAATTTCTTCTTCAAGACTTCTGAAGACAAGTCATCTCACTGGTTAATTGTCCTCAATGACTAGGAAATCTCTCCTTATTACTAGGTTGGTTCTCTCCTTGATTAAGTTCCTATCCCTTGCTTCTTTTCCTGCCTTCATATAAATAATCTCGTTTCCCAGCCATCATGTCCACACCTCCTTAAAAAGTTGTTGAGAAAAGACCGATCTCCCGTATTTCACCATTTGGGGGGCGCCTTTTCTATTTGCAGCCTCCTTCTATATATTTTGAGGTTATATTTCTCTAAAGCATTGGAACGGCACTCAATATTTCTTTGAAGCGAAGCCATGCGTGGGTTTCTAATGAACTGAGAAATTTTGCCAGGCAGTTCATAACTCACTTCTTTCTTCTGTGCAAGGGAAGCTCTGATTCACCCTTAAAGTAAGGTCTGCAAGACCCCCCCCCCTCCCCGTTGGGTAAAGACTGACAACGAAGAGCTGGATTCACACAATAAACCAAATCTGGTTACTGAAGACATCTATCTTCTGGGTTTGCATAATACGTTGAGTCATAAATGAGCTGACTCTGAATGACTTGCTTAAACATGGTGCACGCTGGCAAATCACGGTGGATGGCAGAGCGCATGGCATGTCATGCAAATCCTGCTCTCATTTACGCCTGGCGTGGGGTTCATTTTTGCAGTCAAGGGAGGGAAGATTTATCAGGCGAGTTTCTCAGACGTCTGTACTTTACTTGATCGCACACATAGCTTGAAGCTTTCTTCTAGCACTTGCGTGTTGTCTCGATAGAGGGCAATATTTGGAGCTCAGGGTTGAAATGAAGAGGTCCTTAGGACTCCCTGAGCTCGGCTGTTTTCACCGACAATGCTGCTACCCTACCAAAAGACCTTGACTATGTGTCAGAACAGTCCAACAATTGGCAACTCCAAATCTCATCTAACAAACGTTCTGCCCTACACATTGGCAACAAAAACCAGAACACCAAATACAAACTGGGTGGATATGATCTTGTAGATGACCCTCACTCTGTCAAGGACTTAGGAGTACTCATCTCAACCAATCTAAGCCCCAGAGCTCCCTGTAACAGCATTGCCAAAAAGGCATTAAGAGTTGTTCACCTAATCTTGCGAAGCTTCTTCTCCGGTAACACTGAACTGCAAAGTAGGGCATACAAAACCTTTGCCAGACCAATTCTTTTTTTTTTTTAATAAATGTTTTTTTAATTTTAATTAAAACAAGTACAGC